AGACACATAACATACAAATCTAACCGGGGACTGGTAGCTAGGAGTACATGCCTCAATCCCCAGCTACTCAGGAGGCTACAATGCGAGGATCGTTTGTTTGAAACCCGACTGGGCAGGAAAGTCTGTGAGACTCTCCCAATTATCTCCAACTAGTTACCAAAAAGAGAGACGTGGAGTTGTGACTCAAGTGGTAGAACACCAGCCCTCAGTGCAAAAACAAAAGATAGGGCCCAGTCTCTGAGTTCAAGCACTGACGTTGGCACAAAGTGGGGGGGGGGGGGAGGAAAGAGGCAGCACATGCAAGGATAGCAGGTACACAGACATTACAAGCAAGAATAACCATAGAAGTGAGGTTGGAACTCGCCCCTGTGACCAAGGGAAAGGCTGTGTTGTTGAGTTTATTTTAAAAGCAAACGCGCTGGATACCCGGCCGGAGGGAGTCAGGGGACTGCTGTCCACGCCCAGCCTCAGCCGTTGGGAGCCTGGGTCTGTGGCCGGAGTGCGCGCACCGTGCACCGGCCCCAGCAGAGCGGAGCAGCCACGCAGCAGGACCGCCGCGCTGGCCACGGAGGGGACCCCACGGCAGGAAGAGGGGCTGGACGCAAGGCAAGGCGGGGCTCTCCTGGGAGAGGCTAGAGGCCCCGAGTTTAGGCTCAAGTTCTGCCAGAAACAAAAACAGAGGCAGGAGTTAGGCGCCGCGCATGCGGCCGGGCTCCTGGCCTTGGAGCTGGGCCTCCACTGGCACAGACCAAAACAGGGACCTCCACACAGGGAGGCGCTGGGGCCGCGGTGCCCACACAGAGGGTCCAGGCAGGAGGGGCGGGCTGTGGGGCGGGCTGTGGGGGGGGGGCGCTGGGGCCGCGGTGCCCACACAGAGGGGTCCGGGCAGGAGGGGCAGGCTGTGGGGGAGGGCTGGCCGCGGTGCCCACACAGAGGGTCCAGGCAGGAGGGGCGGGCTGTGTGGGGGGGCTGGCCGCGGTGCCCACACAGAGGGTCCAGGCAGGAGGGGCGGGCTGTGTGAGGGGGCTGGCCGCGGTGCCCACACAGAGGGTCCAGGCAGGAGGGGCGGGCTGTGGGGGGGGGGGCGCTGGGGCCGCGGTGCCCACACAGAGGGGTCCGGGCAGGAGGGGCGGGCTGTGGGGGGGGGGGGCGCTGGGGCCGCGGTGCCCACACAGAGGGGTCCGGGCAGGAGGGGCGGGCTGTGGGGTAGGCTGTGGGGGAGGGCTGGCCGCGGTGCCCACACAGAGGGTCCAGGCAGGAGGGGCGGGCTGTGTGGGGGGGCTGGGCCGCGGTGCCCACACAGAGGATCCGGGCAGGAGGGGCGGGCTGTGGGGGGGGCTGTGGGGGGGGACTGGGGCCGCGGTGCCCACACAGAGGGTCCGGGCAGGAGGGGCGGGCTGTGGGGGGGGCTGTGGGAGGGGACTGGGGCCGCGGTGCCCACACAGAGGGTCCGGGCAGGAGGGGCGGGCTGTGGGGGGGGACTGGGGCCGCGGTGCCCACACAGAGGGTCCGGGCAGGAGGGGCGGGCTGTGGGGCGGGCTGTGTGGGGGGGCTGGCCGCGGTGCCCACACAGAGGGTCCAGGCAGGAGGGGCGGGCTGTGGGGGGGGGGCGCTGGGGCCGCGGTGCCCACACAGAGGGGTCCGGGCAGGAGGGGCGGGCTGTGGGGTAGGCTGTGGGGGAGGGCTGGCCGCGGTGCCCACACAGAGGGTCCAGGCAGGAGGGGCGGGCTGTGTGGGGGGGCTGGCCGCGGTGCCCACACAGAGGGTCCAGGCAGGAGGGGCGGGCTGTGTGGGGGGGCTGGCCGCGGTGCCCACACAGAGGGTCCAGGCAGGAGGGGCGGGCTGTGGGGGGGGGGGCGCTGGGGCCGCGGTGCCCACACAGAGGGGTCCGGGCAGGAGGGGCGGGCTGTGGGGGGGGGGGGGCGCTGGGGCCGCGGTGCCCACACAGAGGGGTCCGGGCAGGAGGGGCGGGCTGTGGGGTAGGCTGTGGGGGAGGGCTGGCCGCGGTGCCCACACAGAGGGTCCAGGCAGGAGGGGCGGGCTGTGTGGGGGGGCTGGGCCGCGGTGCCCACACAGAGGATCCGGGCAGGAGGGGCGGGCTGTGGGGGGGGCTGTGGGGGGGGACTGGGGCCGCGGTGCCCACACAGAGGGTCCGGGCAGGAGGGGCGGGCTGTGGGGGGGGCTGTGGGAGGGGACTGGGGCCGCGGTGCCCACACAGAGGGTCCGGGCAGGAGGGGCGGGCTGTGGGGGGGGACTGGGGCCGCGGTGCCCACACAGAGGGTCCGGGCAGGAGGGGCGGGCTGTGGGGCGGGCTGTGTGGGGGGGCTGGCCGCGGTGCCCACACAGAGGGTCCAGGCAGGAGGGGCGGGCTGTGGGGGGGGGGGCGCTGGGGCCGCGGTGCCCACACAGAGGGGTCCGGGCAGGAGGGGCGGGCTGTGGGGTAGGCTGTGGGGGAGGGCTGGCCGCGGTGCCCACACAGAGGGTCCAGGCAGGAGGGGCGGGCTGTGGGGCGGGCTGGGGCCGCGGTGCCCACACAGAGGGTCCAGGCAGGAGGGGCGGGCTGTGGGGCGGGCTGGGGCCGCGGTGCCCACACAGAGGGTCCGGGCAGGAGGGGCGGGCTGTGGGGGGGGGCTGTGGGGGGGGGACTGGGGCCGCGGTGCCCACACAGAGGGTCCGGGCAGGAGGGGCGGGCTGTGGGGGGGGCTGTGGGGGGGGACTGGGGCCGCGGTGCCCACACAGAGGGTCCGGGCAGGAGGGGCGGGCTGTGGGGGGGGGCTGTGGGGGGGGGGGCTGGCCGCGGTGCCCACACAGAGGGTCCGGGCAGGAGGGGCGGGCTGTGGGGGGGGGCTGTGGGGGGGGCTGGCCGCGGTGCCCACACAGAGGGTCCGGGCAGGAGGGGCGGGCTGTGGGGGGGCTGTGGGGGGGGCTGGCCGCGGTGCCCACACAGAGGGTCCGGGCAGGAGGGGCGGGCTGTGGGGGGGGCTGTGGGGGGGGACTGGGGCCGCGGTGCCCACACAGAGGGTCCGGGCAGGAGGGGCGGGCTGTGGGGGGGGACTGGGGCCGCGGTGCCCACACAGAGGGTCCGGGCAGGAGGGGCGGGCTGTGGGGGGGGGCTGTGGGGGGGGGGCTGGCCGCGGTGCCCACACAGAGGGTCCGGGCAGGAGGGGCGGGCTGTGGGGGGGGGCTGTGGGGGGGGCTGGCCGCGGTGCCCACACAGAGGGTCCGGGCAGGAGGGGCGGGCTGTGGGGGGGCTGTGGAGGGGGCTGTGGGGGGGGCTGGCCGCGGTGCCCACACAGAGGGTCCGGGCAGGAGGGGCGGGCTGTGGGGGGGGCTGTGGGGGGGGACTGGGGCCGCGGTGCCCACACAGAGGGTCCGGGCAGGAGGGGCGGGCTGTGGGGGGGGGCTGTGGGGGGGGGCTGGCCGCGGTGCCCACACAGAGGGTCCAGGCAGGAGGGGCGGGCTGTGGGGGGGGCTGGCCGCGGTGCCCACACAGAGGGTCCGGGCAGGAGGGGCGGGCTGTGGGGGGGGGCTGTGGGGGGGGCTGGCCGCGGTGCCCACACAGAGGGTCCGGGCAGGAGGGGCGGGCTGTGGGGGGGGCCAGGGGGGGCCGGCCTCGAACCCCGCCGCGTGGGGCTGCGCACCGCCGTCCTCCGGCCTGCTGGCTGGTTTGTTGCTTGTGTTTGTCTGGCGCTGGGGTGAACTCAGGCCTGGGCGCTGCCCCTTGGCCTGTGTTCGCCCCGGAGCCGCAGCTCTGTCTGGTGTTCACTGGAGACGGAACGCGCGTGGGTCGGCTCCGGGCTGGCTCCCAACCGCCGGCCTCTGCGGCCGCGTCCTGGGCCCCGGGCCGGTCCTGCCCGGCGTGACCGGCCCCGGCGGTGCGCACCGCCCGCTCCCCGCTCCCGCCGGGGTCGCCCCCGCGCGCCCCGGCTCAGGACCCGGCCGCGGGCCGCACCCCGCCCCGGCCCTGGGGACCCCTTCCGTGCGGGGACGTCGGGCGCCGTCGGAAGTCCCGGGCCACGTGACCGCTGGGTCTCGGGAGGGGGCGCTCGGGACAAAGTCCGGGAGCCCTCGGGCCTCTCGGCGCGTCTCCATTTTACCGCGGGCCCGAGACGCCCCGGCCCCCCCACCGGAACCCGGCCCCCCCACCGGACCCCCGGACCCCCCACCGGACCCCGTCCTCCCCACCGGACCCCCGGCCCCCCCACCGGACCCCCGTCCTCCCCACCGGCCCCCCGGCCCCCCCCACCGGACCCCCGTCCTCCCCCCCGGCCCCCCCCCGGCTCCCCGGCCCCCCCCACCGGCCCCCCCATCTTCTCCCTCCCCCCTCCCGCCCCCACCGCACCGGCCCCGGTTTGCGAAACAGCCGCTTCCATCCCGCGCGCCGGGATCGATACCCGCGGCCCCGCCACCGCGCGCCGCAATTCCGGGGAGGGTGCGGGAGGGGGTCCGCGGGGCACGGGGACGCCGGCCCCGGCTGCCCTGCTTCGCCACGTCCGGGCTCCGAGCGCGGACGCCACGCGGGTCGGACCGGGCTCGGGCGCGTCGGGAGCTCACCTGCGCGAGGACGCGGGGTCCGGGCGGGGTCCGGGGTCCGGGGTCCGGGCGGGGTCCGGGGTCCGGGGTCCGGGCGGGGTCCGGGCGGGGGCGCGGGCAGGCGCGGCGCGGCGAGCTCTGACCCCTGCGACTGCGCGGCGGAGACTCGAACCTGAGCCTGGCGCG